ATCCAGCACATTCTTTTACCCACTTGATCAGGCTCATGTCAAACAATGTATTTCAGTCTGGGGCCAGTCATGAAGGGCAAGATGCTGATAACACCAGGGGCACCTCACCAGCTGGCCATTTAGCCATTGATAGGATCATGGATGGTCGCCTAAGAAAGACCTTAGTGATCGTGGAAACTGCCTCCTTCATTTCTCAGATGCAGAAACTGAGGGCCAGGGGATGCGTGATTTGCCAAAAGTCTTAGAATGCATATTTTCTTACTTCTGTTCTGCTAATTTTTCTGACATGCTACAGTGCTCCCACTGTGTCTAAAAGGAAACCCTAGGTGGAGTATTGCAGCTGGGAGAGGTGTGTGTGGCGGGGGAGGGGTGCGTGTGCAAGTAAGAAGTGGCAGGAAAGTGAGTCTTGCCACACAGAAAACTTACCTTGGACTGACTTAATATTTTTGGGCAATGTGAGAAGGTATTGGGGGTAAATTATCTGAATAATTCTAGGCAGCTGGTAGTGAGACAAAACACTGGATGAGGCATTCTTATTTCCCGCCCTTTAACATTATTTTTTCTATAAAAAAATTTAAGCCTCTGTAGAGAAAAATTGCTTAATAGACTCTTACACCAGTCACCCATCTGACTTATCAATACTCGACCACTCTTACTTCGCCTTTGTTGGGTGAGGCTCTAATTAGACAGTCCCTCTCTAGCTGTGTCTGGTAGATTCTTGAGTATCATGTCTTTTGAGTATTTTCTTATTGCTGTAACTAAAATAAACACAATTCTGAATTGTAAGGACTGAATCTGTGTAAAAATATTACCATTTTAGGAAACTTCCTAAACTACTGGTCCATAGCTGTAGGGGCATTTGGTCATTAATGCACACGGAGAAGATACACAATTATTAATGTTCATTTCTGATTATATTGGACATTTGTTACTATGCTTAAGTGTCTTCATGAATGATAATACTATTCCTGACTGCTTGGTGTCTCTTAAAAGTGGGGACATTGCAAAATGCTCTTGCCTGAGTACAGTATAATATTTCTGATTTGTCTCTATTTTTGGTGCAATAAGAATAAAATATTAAGTGAGGAGAAGGAAGAGTGGAAGAATGGGGAAGGGTTGTAAAAATGGTTGTTTTTATTTCATAGTTCTGAGTAAAGAATGGCATGATTTCTGACTTCCAAACAAAATAACAGGTTGACTATATCCATTAGTCTCCTCATCTTCCTAAATCCTCGAATTTGTTTTTAAAAAAGATATAAACAATTAGGACAAAAACAATAAAAAAAGAAAAAAAACAAACACAATTTTGGAAGCTGGAAAGGATAGATAAAGCAAATTGACTTGCTAGAATCAAGAATTCTGAATCAGGGGGTGGCTCCATAGTGTAGTGGTTAGCACGTCTGCTTTACATGCAGAAGGTCCTGGGTTAGCACTCCAGGTGGAGCCACGGACCATACTCCAGGTGCGCCAGGCCTTGGGTGCACGCCCCGAGCATGTGCGAGGAGACGCTTCGCCTTCAGAGATCCAGTTCTTGAGGGGAAACGGCAACATCCAAAAAAATTCTGAATCATAAACCTGCAGTGGAGAAAGTTGGGAAATAACCCAAAATACCTTCAGGGGCTCCTTCACCAAATTATTAGTTTCATCTAGAAGGGGTGAATGAGGGGCTAAATACAGGATGATTAGAAGATTGCTTAAGAAGGAGTAAAATCTCCACTTCCCTTCCCCATTCACCCCTGGGCTGTGGAATACCAGGAAGAGTTGAAGGTAGGGCTCCCAGATTATAACTATGTGAATTGGAAGGTCACATGCAGGATAATATTACAACCTCCCCCAGCCATTTTCTCCCAAGCCCTAAATCTGACTCCCTAACCCTGGAAGAACCATTCTACCCTTCCACACAAAAGATATAAAGTCTTCAGAGGAATATGACCTGTCTAAAAGAAAGATTTTTATAAGCCAAACCCCCTTACCCTGATGCCAACTGTCAGCAAGTCCACCGGTGTACACAGAACATTCAGTTAGTCCTACAGGGCCCTCTATGATCAGAGAGCCAACTCCCCAGCTACTGAAGGAAAGGGCCCAATGTAGAAGAGAGTGACCAAAATGAAAAAAACAGAAAACAGACACTGCAGAGTGATGGAAATGGAGATGAAGATGGAAATGGACAGAGAGAGAGACGCTATCATTACAATCCCTAGAAATTTACAGGAAGATATTGAATCCATGAAACAAAGATAGGATGCTCTTTTAAAAAAATTACAGAACACAAAAGAAGTCTTAAAAATTAAAAGTGGGAGAGCACAAATGAAAAACTCAACAGAAAATTTGGAAGAGACTCTCCCAGAAAGCAAAACAAAAAGACAAAGACATGGAGAATAAAGATAAAATAGAGGACCAGTCCAGGATTCTCAACAGCTAAGCCATGAAAGTTCTAGAAAGAGAGATTAGAAAAAATATAGGTAAGAAAATCACTGAAGAAATAACCCAAGAAAGTTTCCCAGAACTGAAGAATCTATGTCTTCAGATTGAAATGTCCTCTCTAGTGCCCAGGACAGAAAATAAAACTAGACCCACAGTAAGATGGCATCTTGAACTTTCAGAACACTGGAGGTAAGGAGAAGATCCTAAAAACTTCCTGGAGGGAGAATAAGTTTACCATAAAGAATCAAGGATCAGGAGAGCAGATGTCTTAGTAGCTTTGAGATAAAGAAAAATCAGAACTCTGTGGTAAGATGATATCTAACGTGGAACTTCATACCTAGCCCAACTACCAACTAAGTAGGAGGACAGAATCAAGAATTTTTAGGCCTAAAAAAATTTACCTTCCAGGTACTGGAAGATGCATTCTTTTAAAACAATAGTTAACCAAAAAACAGCAAAATCAGGCATTCTAACCCAAGGGAAAGATGAGAGAATTCTCAGCATCATGGTGAAAAGAGATCCTAAGATGGTAACTTGTACAGCCAGCCCAGAGATCACCTAGTCTTGTTGGGAGCATGTTAGAAGACCCCTGGTGAGATTTCTTTTAAAAAGGAAGAAAGGAAAAGAAAAGGAAGGGAAGGATTGGGAAGGAAAGGGAAGGGAAGGGAAGGAAGGAGAAAAAGAGGGAGATATAGAAAAAGTAAAAAGAAAGAAATCTAACGCATATAAAACCATTGAGAGAAGACTTACACGAACTGGGGAGGGTTCGGGGATAAATCAGTGGTAAGAATATATGAAACTCGGGATATTAAAAACCAATAATTATTAACTCCAGAGAAAACAAAAAATTGTACAGGATAGGAAAATAATCAGAGTATATTACAAAGCTAATCTGTCAATGGCATCTACATAGTCCTAGTAATATAACACTGGATATTGTTCTAACTAAAATGATAATGTTGTTCTAACTAAAACTGCAATTCACAGGGGATGTGAATAAGAAAGAATTAAATCTTCATATTCCATAGCAGGAAGTCAATAAATACTGCTTAAAGTTAAAAAGGAATGAAATATCAATGCAAGTGTTATGTAAAGACATGAAGAAAAATAAAAATAATCAGTTAAAAGAACTAAAATAACGGCCCCTGGAGAGTGAGAAGTTGGTGGTGAGGTTGGGGAACTACTGTTTTTCATAACAAGATTTATAGTTCTCTTCAACTGTGAAAGTTCTGTTGATGCATCACTTTAATTAAAATTAAAACTAAATAAAAATAAAACTCTTAAAAAATAGAAAAAAGAGTTCATGAATAGACAGACAAGCAGAATGGTCAAGTCACTCTCATATTTAAGGTTTTATTTCTCACAAGTCACTTGTATTTCAGTTTGTCAACATTTTACTTATCAGTATTTGCGCACCTGTCAATGTGCAAACTGCAGTGGGCTTTATGAGTCATGAGTTATCACATGTTAACATTGGAGAGGGGATCAAGCGTGGAAATTCTCAAGTAGTGAGACAAGGAGGTGGGGGCCAGGGTTTTTATAACATCATTAAAAGGGGAGGGATCAGAAAATATTTATGATAGAGAACAACTGAGCAAGTTTTCCAAAAACATTAGGCCAGTCTCAGGAGGCTAAAGACTGTACGAATTCATTTATATGACATTCTGGAAAAAGCTAACTATAGAAATAGAGAACAGATCAGTGGTTGCCAGGGACTGGAGACAGGGAGGATACTGACTAGGAAGGAGCACTGGGGAACTTTTTGGGGTAGTTATAATTCCAGAACTATACACATTTGTCAAAACCCATAGAACTAAATAACTTACCGTATATAAATTCTTCTGCAATAAACTTGACTTTTAAATAATTATATAAAATTAATTGAAAATATCAATATGTATGAAGGAGGAAAGAATAAAATGTGGTATGTCCATATAACAGAATATTATTCTGTCATAAAGAGGAAAGAAGTACTGATACATGCTGCTTCATGGATGAGTTTTGAAAACATTGTGCTAAAATAAGTCAGACACAAAAGGACACATATTGTATAATTCCATTTATATGGACTGTCCAGAATAGACAAATCCATTATGATACAATGTAGATTTCCTAGGGCTGGAGGAGGGAAGAGTGAGCAGTGAGGACTAATAAGTACAGGATTCCTTTTGGGAGTGATGAAAATATTCTAAAATTTAATGATGGTGATGGTTATAAATTTTGCGACTATACTAACAACCAGAGTTTTGTACTTTCAAAGGGTAAATCTTATAAATCAATCAGAATAGGAGCTGTTTTAATTTAAGAGACTTTACAGTCCAATTATTAACCACCTCCAAAGGTTACCAAAGATATAAAAATCTAGCTATTTAGAAATCTTTCCATACTCACACAATAGAAAAATATCCTCAGTCAACATAAGACAATTCTGAGGCATTTGTAGCTGATTCCTGCTATTTTGCTTTGTGCTGTGTTCTGTTGTACTTGTTCAGAAAGAATGTCAGTCAAATTAAGGGCTCAAATTCATGAGCCCTTTAAATCTTGTTATCAAAGCACTTCTAGGATGATAGAGTAAGGACTGCTGAAAATTCACTCTTCCATAAAAGCAATGATAACACCAGCAAAAATGGTCAAAATCAACTTTTTCAGAACTCTGGAAATTAACCAAAGGCTTGCAACAATCCAAAGGGTGCTTATTCACGAAAACTTGCTGAATCTTGATAAGAGAAATGATTTCTGTGGCATTTAAATTTGCCCTTATTCCAACCCCCTCTCTGCAACTCTACAATAGCCTTTAAAACCCAACAGTCTTGGAATCACAGTCATTGTGGAAATGAGCAGCCTATCAGCCTATGGAGGGAAAAGAATGGTTCTGGAGCTCCCCCCAAAACCACACTCCCAGAGAACTGTTACTATGAGGCCAGTCTGGCAGCTCCTCTCCAGCCCCATACAATGGCCATGGACACAGCAAGACCAAACTTGGCCAGAAAGTATAATCGGTACCCAAGAGCTAAACTGGGCACTGATTATATTGGCATACATACTGGTATAACCTAATTGGCATATTATGACACTTACCTGAGGCCCAAGAGAAGGTAAGCCAGGACTTGCGGGGTCCAGATGACATTTACACACAAACTGCATGCTTCTGTAAGCTCCTATGAACACATCCGAAGAGCAGACCTCAGCAGGACCTCCAGAAATAACCGTCAAAGGATAATTCAGAGAAATTAGTTTAGTTAAAAGACCAGCTGAAACTTAACTTGTATACAAGTGAGATCGATCACCTATAAATCAAATGTCACTGAACAAAATCAGGGCAAGGTTTATAAAAGTAAAAATTGCAGACCATCTGTAGACCAGAGATTGCCCTTATTTATTTAATTTTATTTTTTTTGTCTTTGGGCAAGCTGATTAGCTGAAAACTATCAAGGAAGGCAATTTGCCCTGGAACAGATGGACATACTTACAAGAGAAGGCAATTTTAGCTATTTATGGGTTTTCCAAGAAACTTGTGATTTCAGCTGTGGAAGAATGTGGTATGTTCATCTCTGTGCAATAGAGACCAGTACTGGTGCCTTGGCACCTATGCCTGAGGTCAGTTTGCATTGTTTTCTTAATTGTACTTCCTCGTAGCATGATGGTCCATTAGACCAGACCTGTTATTTCCTACCCAGATAGCATTAATTTCCTCATCTGAAAATGGAGATAATGGTATCTACATTATAGTGTCATTGACAAGATAAAATCAGACGTTTGCAACATGTTTATACAGCGTCTCACACATAAAAAACCGTGTAACAAGGGGTAGCCTTTGTTATAAATTACTGGGGGAATCGCTCACTATGTCAGTCAAGGTCCATTCAAGAGAAAGAAACCACACAGTAATCTGAAGAGAGAGAGTTTAATATAAAAAATTATTAAGTGTAATGGGGGATTACCTATCAAGAGGTAAAGAGAACTGTAAAGAATACAAGAAAAGAGGTGTAGGGAGCAGCCACTACTTCTAGGGTCAAGGCAGATCACCGAAAAAGGAAGAACCTCAAAAGAGCGACCCCTCCCCAGCCAACGCTGAGATACAGACCTAGGTGAAGAAAGTATGGTGGAAACACTGGGTGACGAAGAGGTCAGCTGAGGGTGCGCGCTGGCAGAAATCAGTGAGGATCTACCTACTAGGGTGCCAGGGCAAACTGCCCACAGGGAGATATGCCGCATTGTGGAAATCACTGGGAATCCTCCCTCAAGTGTTGGGGGTGGGGTGTGGGGGGTGACATTGGGTGTCCTATAACAAACCATAGGAACAGGCAGAGAAGCAGCTTTTTATTATGGGGACATATTGTTTTGACTTACTTAAACCAATAAGCTTGTACTGCTTTAATAAAATAGAAAAAAGGAAACAACTAGAGCTATAATACCCGTGCTCAAGTCCCAGCCTTAACATGCATGCAATAGCTGTGTGACCTTGGGCAAGTGTCTTAACTTCCCCGGGCTCTGATTTTCAACTCAAAGATTAAATGGGTATAGGATACACCCACACGGGAACCGCAGTGAGGGTCCCCATGGACAGAGCTCTGGGCGGTAGCATGAGCTGTGGAAAGGGCCCCTAATCGAAGTGACTGCTCACCTTTGAGGCAGCTGAGTGCAGCTGCCTGTGTCCTGCAGATGCTCCAGGTACCCAGATCTGATCCCTTGTTGAGCTGTTTACATTCTCTGAGGTTCAAGTATTCTGATTTGTAACTTCTGATTTTTATCTGGCACTTAAAAAAAAAAAAAAGAAATTAGCAGGTCAGAAACAAAGATATAATGTGGCTTAATAATACACAGATTTAACAAATGTATAATGTAAGCCTATAAGCACAACTAATTCCATGAATTTATATTATACGACTGTGGCCTTATTTTTACTGCCAATCCCCTCCTCTTGTGGAATTATTAACTTTCCAACTTTCTTAATTTTTTTGAAGTTGATTCAATGGTTTATTATTTTGATTAACCATTTGAAGAAGTAATCATTGGTTTGTTTAACTTTTCTATTTTTTTAAGTTTCTAATTTGCTCAATGCTCTTCAATTAAACAATGCAATTTGTTCCTTTTCTAAAACCTTTAGATACTATTTTATATCTTCTTTTGCCATTTAATTTATATGCTCTTCAATTAAACAATGCAATGTGTTCCTTTTCTAAAACCTTTAGATGCTATTTTATATCTTCTTTTGCCATTTAATTTATATATATGTATATATATGTTTAGAGAAATATATTTTCTTATAATAACACTTTGCACTCATGCATTTTGGTGGGTGGAGTTTGTGGATGTTATAAATCTTCGTGGATTTTCTCTGTGGCTCCACTGCTATCATGGGGAGTGTTTTTAAATTCTGTGGGTATATTAGTTAAGGCTCTTCTGGTTACTGAATAACTTATGCACAAGCTAAAAGTATTAGAAGGATCCTGGGGCAGCTCTTAATAGTAAAGGTGAACCGCCAGCTCTTGGATGCAGGTGCCCGGCAGCCCAGCGCAGGTCTGCATCCTAGAGGGCCTCTTTATCTAATGGGTTCAGCTGGAAAATCAAGCCAGCCCTCCCCATCTTTCTACATCAGGTTTAAATTCCGGGGAAAGAAAATCTGATTGGCCCAGCTTGGGTCAGGTGTTCACTTCTGGGTCCAATGGGAAGATACAGCATAGACATAGCCTTTGGACAGTTACTTCTCTCTGCTTCAGTTTTCTCATCTGTAAAATGAGGATAATAATCATACCTACTTCATAAGGTTATAGTGAAAATTAAATGAGTTAATATCTGTAAACACACACAATCACACACACACAAACACATACACAGAGAGAACAGTTCCTGTTACATAATACCATCTGAGAGTTTGCTATTATATTTCTAATCTTATCAACATATGGCCTATCTGTATAGTCTTTTATTTACTTGAAACTTCTTAACCTAATACACGATTATTTGAAGTGTAAAACATATATTTTTAGAAGGTAGATTCTCTAATTTTTCACCTAATTCTCAGAAACTCTTTAATTCTACCTTATTAGTAGCCCTGTTCAGGTTGCTGATTTTTTTACCATCTTTTTATTTGAAATGCCATATTCTGAAGCAAGGTACAACTAATGAATTTGCTGTGTTTTCATTTTTACTGTGCCTTTTTTATTCTCATGTACCAACATCAATATTTCCTCCAGCTTTTGTTTAAAGTGTTTTGTCAGAGATCATAATTAAAATTCCTACCTTTCTTACATTTGCACAGGCATTAATTTTAGTTTGCCTTGTCCAAATGTGTCTTTGGACATAATCCAAAATCCACCATATCCTTAGATTTGGCTTTTAACTTCACTGGGTAACTCTTCCTTTTTAGAGGATTTGGTCCACATTGTAACTGTCACGTGGCACTATATTTCATCATCCTGTGTGTTTTATTTCTTGAAATGTTCCTTATGTAATCCGGATGTCAGCTCGCCCTTTGTTCACTTAGTCCTTGTTGCTGGCCCGGTATTTGTTTGTGCACTGCCTGGATGCAGAACTCAGGTTTGTCTCAACTATGCACTCCTCCACACATGTGCACATATACACACATGCACATGCACACATGCACCATACCCCCCTCCCCCAAACACACACATACACACCAAGACCACTAGTGAGCCACATGCATTGTCCTGATGATTAGGGAGGGCAGGATGGACCACGTGGCTCTTCCTCCTGCACTCTACCATCTCCCTCCCTTTTCACAGGCAGGGCATTTCCACCCTCTCTGAAAGCCTGTGTCCTGCTGTCCTGCTGTCCCTCTCCTGGGTACTTCTGGACTCACCTCCTACCCCAAACACTTATCGAAGCATTTCTCCCAAAGCAATTCTTCTCTGAGCTATTCTTCTTAATGTCATTATATTTGTGTTATTAAATTTCAGATATCAAAATAGGTATTTTCTTATTTGTTTCATATGAGATCAAAAAGTAATTACTTAATTAACCTCCTAGTCTACAGCCTTGCTCCTCAAAGTGTGGTTCATGGTCCAGAGCATCAGCATTACCTGGGAGGCTGTCAGACTCTGGGGCCCCATCCCAGACTTAAAGAAACAGAATCTGCATTTGAACAAGATCTCCGGGTGATTCTCACTCTCTTAAAAGTTTGAGAACCACTAGTCTAATAAACTTTTTAGCACTTCTGATTTTAATAAATTCAGCACATGACAAATTGAATTTACCATCTTTCTTGCTTCTTAAAACTCCAGTCATCTAAGTCAAAAGCCTTGGGGACAGCTTTGCTTCTACTCCCAACTCACCTTTCAAGTCTAGTCAACAATCATGTCCTGTTGATTCTCTTTCCTTAATATAACTCATATCTGTCCCATTTTCTCTTCTCCCACCCACTGCCTCCAGGCCCTCATATTTTTCTTTCTGGATTACTATGTCATCTTCCTACTTGACCTCCCAGCCTAGACTGTCCCTCTCAATGAGGCTAAAGTAATTTAAAAACTGCATAGCTGATCCTATCACTCTCCTGCTTAAAATCCTTCAGCACTCCCCACTGCCTTCATGATTAGATCCAAACTCTTCACACGGATACAAGAACCTTCTTATCCAAATCTTGCCTATCTGTTCAGTCATACCCTCTTCCGCTTCACTTTCTATGTCCCCCGAATGCAGATTCTCTTCCCTCGGCTTAGAATTCCCTTTCTTCTTCTTTTTTCTTTTTTTTGGCCTGGATAACTCCTTTCTACTCTTGAAATTTGGGGTTAGGTGTTCCCTACCCTGAGAAACCTTCTCTCTCCTAGTTCGAGGTAAGCCCCTTCCTTGCCTCCTTGTACAGCTTGAGCAGAATCTCATGGCACCTGGCACAAACCCGTTTGCTTGTTCATTTTCTCTGGAAGCCTGTGAACAACTTGAGGGCCAGGATTGTAAACTCGACCTCTGAATGCCAGAGAGAATGGATCTTGGCTCATAGTAGGCACTTGGTACATGGTTGTTGAATGAGCAAATCAGACAATTTTGCTATTTATGGATTTTGAAAATGGTTTAAAGTTTCTTTTGAGGGACAACTGGTTTCATTGTCTTCTCTTTTTGTTAAATCATTAATATTGTTGCTTTAAAATCTCATTAGTTTCTTTTTTCCTTTGTTGTCATATATTGTATTTTCCATTAAGACAAAAGATAATGATTTGCACCATTAAACTTTCCCTATTATTCATAATGACAAATTTCTTTTCTCTGAGTTTACCTTTGAAATGCAAATTAAATTGTCCATTTTTAATGATGCTTGAAATGAAAGATTTTTAATGGTAGCCCTTTCTATTCTTGGGGATTTACATATGTTGCTCTTCTACTTTCAAAGCAGCTTGACAGGAGTAACTGACCAGGGATGGTAATGTTTCGTTCTAAATTGCTCCACAAATGTCTCCCCTGGTTTTTCATTGTAAAATTGAGGCTCTCTTGTCTTTACACCTGAATAGCAGATGCCTCACCCTGCTGCCTGTATTAACTTTTTAACAATATTGTTTAGTTAAAGAACATAATGGTAGAGAAAACCCTATTGATAACGGCAATAACTAAGAGAACCTACTCCGGGATGAATTTAACATATAGCATTGTAAGGCCTGATATTCCATAGGCTGCATTGATATCTTTGAGTCTCCAAGAGCCCCAAAGGCTTAGCCATAGCCCTCCTTTCCCTATGGGAAAGAATCCCTGTGGTTATTCAAACAGGCCAATCACACCCTCCTGTGGGAACCAGGGGGCACCTTGCTGTCTTGTTACTGCAGTCCATCTCCCACAGCTCCTGCCGGTTTACTCTGTTCCCGAGTGTAACCCTCGTGTGGCCTTGCATGGCATGTGGTGTCCCCTTCCCCTGGGTTGTGAGCATATGTGACTAATAAACTTCTGTCTATTTCATTTGTCTAGTATTGTTTTTGCGTGTTCAGCTATCACGCACTATTTAGGTTGAAAGACTCCCTCCCGAAGGTGGGTTAACTAGGAGGTGATCAGAACAGATATGTGCAGCGTTATATATTTGCAAAACATTATATAGCAAAAGGCTAACAAATATCTCTAACAAGTTAAAAATGACTCAAAAATTGAGAAACAAAGGACTAAAATACAATAGAAAAATGGAAAAAGGATATGTATAAACAATTCGCAAAAAAAAGATACAAAAATTAGTCTCAGATATATGAAATCATTGTCCAAGCTCACTCAAAATAAATAACACTAAGATACTATTTCTCACCTATCTGACTGGCAAAAATTTTTTAAAAAGCATAACAAAATATTCTGTTGTCAAGTTTGTGGGGAAACATAAACTCTTATCTTTGCCACTGGGCATGCATACTGGCATAATCCTTCTGGAGAGAAATTTGGCAGTGTCTAACAATACTGTACATGCACTACCACTCTTTGATTCAGGAACCCAGCAGTTTGACTTTTAGGAAACTATACCACAGATATGCCTCCAACAAAATGAAAATATGCATGCATTTGATTATTACTCATTGCAGCACTGTTTATAATTGTGAAACATCAGAAATAACATAAGTGCCCATATGTAGGAGAGTGGCTGAATAAACTATGGTAAATCCATGTAAAGGAGTACCTTATAGTCATAAAAAAGAATGATAATGTCTATGAAGTGATATGGAGTGACTTCCGGGACATATTGTGAAGTAAAAACAGCAAAGGACAGGAGCTTGTCTATAGTATGCTAAGTATTCTTTCATTTAAGAAAGAAGACATTATAAGGAAATATACTCGA